GTGGGGGAGAATCTGGAAGCTGGGGAAAGGGAAGGAATATGATCAAAATATATTGTGTGAATCTCAAAGAATAAATAAAAACATTATTTAAATGAATTGGAAAAATGATCAAGTCTATGTGCCATGATTTTAAATCTATGTTTCCTATTCCACATCTGAACTGGTAGGAACTGATTTTATTTAATAAATATTTTATAAAGTATGAGTTTTTTACAACAAGGTAAATAACATAGCATGTATAGAGACTATACTGTAAGCATACTGTGCACTAGGAGATGAATACCATCAGAGTACAAATGGGGTATGTTCTCAGTCCTTACATGAGTATTTTATTGGTATAAGTATTACAATTATTCTGTGTTTAGTGCCCTGCAAAGATTAAATTTAGACCAATCTTGCAATTTGGAATATTTATCATATTTTCACAGGGTTTAAAACTTTGTGATCATATAAAATAAACTAAGGCATTCTGGTTGCTACACTGATATGTATATTTTGCCTTTAAGAGACTTTTTATATGATATAGTTTTTCTGTCTCAAGACTCTTATCATCTTGACCAACATGATATCAACAACTTTGACTCTATTATATTCTACTTTGGAAAGTATAAAGGACTTCATGAGAGATTGTGAAAAAGAAAACAACTCTATTGAACATATTTTTTTATTATTTTTTTTGTTTTGTTTTGTTTTTATGAGACAGGGTTTCTCTGTATTGTTTCGGAGGCTATCGGTCCAGCCCGGCCTCGAACTCACAGAGATCCACCTGCCTCTGCCTCCCGAGTGCTGGGATTAAAGGCGTGCGCCACCATCGCCCGGCTTTTTTATTATTTTTTAAGTTTAAATTTAGATTAGAAATAAGGTTGCTTCACAAGTCAGTTCCAGGTCCATCTCCCTTTCCCTCCCCTCCTCCCGTGCCCTCCCCCCAGCCCCCCCCATTATCCCCTCATTTCCCCAGGGAGGGTGAGGCCCTCCATGGGGGTGTCCATAGTCTGTCATTTCATATAGGGCAGGGCCTAGACCCTTCCCCAAGAGTTCAGGGTGAGAGTGCGCCTCACATTGTTGGATGGGACATTTTAATGGTGATTCCTTCCTCTGGAGGTCCGTGACTGGATGGCTATAATGCCTTCAGTAGATTTACCAAAGCATGGAATTTGTTGCTGGTGTCGGGGGTATTGTTTTTGGTGGTGGTTTGGGCTTGTTGTTGCTTTTCTGTTTGGGTGATGCTTGAACTCTGGCATTCCTTGCTGACTGAGCTGTATCCCAGCCCACACTGTTCCTTTAAAGAACTGGAACTGTCCCCAACCCCCAGGAGCCAGCAGCCTTCCTTCTTTGGTTGGTCTGATGACTCTTTGAACTGAAAGTGCTGTCTTCTCCTTTTGTCTGGTTTGCCAGTCTTGCCCTCTGTTTTTAATGCTGGAAGGCATATATTTACCTTTAATTTAAAAAAAATAGGCTAGTTCTAATTTTGCTTTGTAAGACACTTGATTTATTTATTTACTTTTAGAATTTCACAACTCTTTGAAATATTTAGAGATACTGTAGGGTGTTGCAAATAGAGGATCAGAAACCACTGTCACAGGTCCAAGAATGTACTTTGCCAATATGCAGCTTTTCCCAAGGCAGTCTATTATTGCTTTCCTAATTTTTTAAAAAGTTTTCTCTCACATGAAATAAAATGTTCTTCTAGTAGATTTTTTTCTCCCTCTGTACTCTTGAACAAAAAATTTGGGGCAACATATTTGTTGTTTATTTATGTGTTGTTTGGGGTTAAGTTTATATTGTAGTGTGCTATTTTCTAATATATCTACATTACTTGCCAGAAGTCTATGACTAACTGCTGAAAGATAACTTCTATTACATAAATTGGGCCTCAAATCATCAGGCATGTCCAAATAATGGCCTTATGGCCACATGTGGTCAAATACAACTATGAATACAGACTGCCCCCAAATCATAAACTTGCTTAATAAAGCATTATGCATTTTTATAACTTGATGGCACAATTTTTGAGTGAAGACTTTGTAAATGAAAATATTATATTTCAGTGTCAAAAGATTGAACATTCATGATGGAATCAAACCATAATAATTTATAATAAAGATTATTTATCAGTAAATACTAAAATTAATGTGTGATACACAGAAATATGGGCCCCAAATATTAGAGCATTTATTGTCCAGAAGTATAAAGTGTCATCAAATACTAATATAAACAATGATTTGGAGGAAATGTTGATACATTTATTTTGAATAAAGGGGGAAAAGGCTGTTTAGTCTTTTTGCTAGACACTGAGGATCAATGCAGTAATAACTGGATGAATAAAGGATGTGGAGAAGGTCATCCAAAGGTGGAGGGATTGGGTAGTGGTCATGTGACGAAGATGCAGAGTCAGGACAAACCAGGTATCCTAGAATGTGGGATGTCTAACCTGGCCAAAGTAAAATACAGTATGTCGAGAAGTAATAATAGCAGAAGTAATGTATCGAAACATACACAGAGATCAGAGTTCTTAATACCCAGTCAGTGATTCTCAACCTTCCTAAAGCTGCAACCTTTAATACAGTTCCTATGTTGGGGTGACCCCCAATCATAAAGTTATTTCTGTTGCTACTTCATAACTGCCATTTTGCTACTGTTATGAAGTGTAATGTAAATATCTGATATGCAGGATATCTGATATGCAATCTCTGTGGAGGTCAACAACCCACTGCTTCAAAATAACTGCTCTAACTGAAGAATATTATATTTGAGACAATTATTGCAGTTGTACTTTTCTGCATATGTTACTCTTTTTTCAGGACATCTGTAGATATTTCATTCAGGAGAGTAGTAGGAATTAGAATTTTGGAGAAAGAGTCAATTCATTTGAAAAGTTTTATGATGGTGATGTATTTCTTGGCATATACTGCTAGCAAAGAGAAGACAGGCGGGGTCCTCTTCCATTTTGGTTGGTTTGTAGTTGTGTCTATGACATTTTTGTTTCTGTTGGTATAATATTCCTTCTATTTTCTCAGAGGAAACATACCATGATTACACCTGGTAGACTCCATGAAAAAAAAAAAACAAGTTTGGTGTGAGGCTGCCACTCTGTCCTCTCAGTCAAGTACAAGTCTAGCTTAAGCATGGAAAGATTTTCACAAATATTTTCTCAACAGAATACTGCAAACAACTTGGCTGTGTTTCAATTTATTGTGAGAACTGACAACCCCCTGAAGTAGAACAATGTGTTCTCAACTTGCACTTGCTCTATTCTGTTAGAAAAAGTAACACCAGAACAAATGTAGGCACATTGATTAAAAATGGAAAAAATGAATTGGACTAAATCTATTTTTTCTAAACTACACATCGTCTTACTAAAACCTGGAAAAATTAAGACAAATCAAAGCCTTCAACATGAGGCACATGACTTGACCAATCCTAACTCTGTTGAGTAATGACAGCAGCCTTAGTGAGAATAAGGTCATGCTAGTCCAGGCCGGCAAGAACTTCGAGATTTCATTTTGACCCTACAGTAAACATACATGATGATGGGAAACATAAGCACACACTCAGTTGCCTTCACTTGGAAGAACTGAACTAGATCAACTGTGAAGTTCCTGTTTGGGATTTTCAATGAGTCCCTCAGTGTCTACGGTTCTCAATTTTGCCACAGATGTAGGGATAACTAAAAATTAAACCACTCATAATTATTCTGTTTAAGGGAAGTACAAAGTAATAGGCACATGCATAGAAGTTACCATCCTGGCTGCTGCGATCCATTCCAATAGCATGGTACTTATAAAGGGAACTCTTTTCTTTATTTCAAAGACTTAATACAATCCTTCCATTTACATGTTAGTTAGCTTCTTGTCACTGTGACAAACACCCACAAGACATATTTCAAAAGGAAGGAAGATTTCCTTTGGCTCATGCTTTGACAGTTTCTGTGCTTTGTCATCTGGTTCCGGTGCTTTGAGTATGGTGAGGCAGAAAACTGTGATGGAAGGGCATTGTAGAGCAAAGCTGCTCAAACAAACAAAAAGGTAGAGAGACAGGGCGGGGCAGGGACAAGAGGGAACTTTCTAGATCATGCCCCTAGTGACCTTTGTCCTCCAAGTAGGTCCCACCTCCTGTTTTCTACCACTTCCTTCTCATGCCACCCTTTTACAGATTCATCAAGGGATTTACCCCCATACCGCTGTGTCTAGGCTGGGCAAGGTATCTCGTCATATAGAATGGGTTCCACTAGGTCAGTTTGGAGGCACACATATTTTATAATTCAGAAATCTGAGTCCCTTTAGAAAAAGATTAGACTGTATTTTATGTAATTCCATATGTGAGGTTTTGAGCAGCAAGCACCATTTAAAGAGGCTTAGCTCCTCAGTGAAACAAATACAGTCAGTCAAAGAACACATGGTGGGCTGGAGACATGGCTCAGTTAGAGAGGTTCGTTTCTCAGCACACACGTTAGTGCAAAACCTTGTGTCCTCCACTTCCAGGGATCAGACACTCTGTTTTGGTCTCCAAGGGCTCTTGCATGCAACATCCTCACTTCACCACCCCAACAACCTGTACACCAGAAACCTTCCTTCTCTTCCATTCCCAGCTCTATCAATGAACAAAACGTGTGGGTATGGGTTTGGAGAGCATCCTGAGGATGCTAAGATATGTCAACGTACAGTGATTAAATTTTACCAATAAGAAACTTCAGTTCCTTGCATCATGTCCCATATAAAGTGAAGATTCTGCCCTGCTTTGGATAGAAAAATAAAACTCCCCCAAACTATACTTACCCCCTCAGTAACAAATCACCAAAAATCGGACCCCACTATTTTGTTTTTGGTTTTAGTCTGTTTTATACAGTAGCTAAGTACATTTTCTTTTATTTTAATGTTAGTCATGTTTTCATCAGCTTTGCATCTGCACTGTGCCTTTGTTGTAATACTTCCAATAGGCAATGATTTGGAGATGATAAGGGGGTGATGTATCAGACACTCATCTTATATTTTCATCCTCAGGTAAAAAACCAAACCTGAAAGTACACATCAACACCACCAGTGACTCCATCCTCTTGAAGTTCCTTCGTCCAAATCCAAATGTAAAGCTGGAAGGTTTTCTCCTGGGATATGGCAGCAATGTGTCCCCAAATCAGTACTTCCCTCTTCCCACAGAAGGGAAAGTCACCGAGGCTGTAGTAGGTAAGGTGTTTGGGTGGGTAATAAGAGGTACCGACTACACTAAGATGCCCAAATGTGGAAGATTAGAAACATTTCTTCTACATCCTTGGCTGAGCCCAATGTGGCAATACAGATCACCTTTTTAATTACTGTGACCCAAAGCATAGTTCTTTATATTGAGACCTTTTATTGTATGAAGAAATAATTGTCTTAACCACTGTTGAACCTGTAATCCTGTCCACATAATTGAATACATAAGGAAAAAACAGCTGAAATATTGGGCATAGCCCTTGTGGCATTATTTATGTGTACTAATTTTCATTCTTGTTGTTTTTACTTTCTTCCAGTAGAAGATGGCCAGTATAGAGTTTTAGATGTTATATTTGGAAAGAGGTGTTATTTTTGGAAAGAAAAAACAGATTGCTTTTAAATTTTTAAAGTAATTCAGACAAGGCGATTAAAGTTTAATATGAATTATGAAATCATGCATTTCTTTGAAAATGGTTTAATGATATAAAATTAGAGTTTCAGGATGTGAGACATCTTCTTACTTTCTCTGTGGGGAAAATGTAAATAAAATCTACTTAAGGGATTAAATGCTTTGACAAGGATGATTCATTGTGAAAGCTTTAAAAGTCTCAGGCGGCGAGACTCGATTCTTTGCTCCCTGCTAAGACATTGTTTAAGAGGCAGTCTCTGAACTATAAAAGCTTAATCCTGTGTTCCAGTACTTCATGTTGGCTCTTGCACTTTCAAGTGTGTAATGAGAATGCCGAGACGAGTTGATTGTGTTCTTCTTCCTCTTGCTTTTCCCAGAGAAATCTCTGTTGCTCCTTAGTGTCAGCCAAGAGGTAATATTGTCAATTAATGAGTAATTAGAGATAATGTTGTCAAGTCGTGAGTAACTCAATATTACATAGGGAAACCACTTAAAGCAAACCTAAGAGCTGATTACCCCACATGCTTTCAGAATTAGGCAGTATAATAATAATATAATTAGATAAGTATAATAACCAATTTAATGTAGAATTAGAATTCATGTTTTTTATAGACTTTTTTGTTATTTAAATAGAGAACCTGGTCATTTGTTCCTAATTCATTAGCCACCATATAGACGTCTGTTGCTGCAAGAAGTTAACACAAACTTGCAAGTTTAAAATATTATAACTATATCATCTTATCATTATAGGTCAGAAGGCCAACTTGGTTGTTGTGGGCTAAAATAAAAGTATTAGACAGAGTACATTCTTGTCTGGAGGCTAAGTGGAGAGTATAATTTCTTGCCATTTTCAAAATGTTCTGCCTTCCTCTTTGACCTTAAAGTTGACAATATAGACCAAACTGTCACATCACATGGATCCATCTGGATAATTCAGGATGCTGTCCTTATTTTAGGTCTACTTGTTATCAACCTTAATTCTATCTGCAAAGTAAATTTCCTTTGTTGTATAACCCCATATAATCCCAGGTTCTAGGGGTTAGGATGGCGATCTTTGTGGACAACTATCCTGTTACAAGCCACACACTTGGCATTCATGTCTCTGTTGTCTTTCTGTTGCCAGTTTCCTATATGGCCATCTCTGTTCTGTCCATTAGGAGGAGCAAGTCTAGTTTTCACAGATATGCTGTGGGCAGGTGATGATTTCATGATTGTAAAGTGATGAGCCAAAATCCCCTGAGGGTGAAGGAGTAATAAAAAACATATCTTGCAGTCCCTACTCAGCCCTTTGTAATAGGACAGTAGCATTTCTCTTTCCAGTGTCCTGGACTTTAGCTGAAGATAATAAATTATTTTTATTTTCAAAAAAAGTGCTGCTATGCCACATTGCCTGACATATTTCACATGACATCTTTACTATCATATCTCACTTGTGACATGAGACAAGATGGGTGAGCCATCTTGCTGACTCTTCCCTTGATTTTTATATTTAACTAGAAAACTGTACCACGTTCTTCAACCACTGTGATTTAGACTTGTAGCTTTCCTTGTCTATCTTTGCATTATATATTTGTACATTCTTCAATCATTTTGTTCAGAAGTGAGATAAAGTTTAAAATAATGGAGGCTGTTACTACTTATTCTACTGAAGGCAAACATCACAAGGAAAGTGGTTGTGGATTTATTGGTGAAAAATAGCTAGGAGTAAGCTTGATGAGGAAATGAAGGTGCTATACAGGGAACTTAATATGTTGGGCTGGAAGAATACTGGTGGGGAAGAGGCAGGATAGAACATCAGGAGGGAGTGGTGCAGTGTGGCCATGGAGAGCAGGGGAAAACCCCACTTCCCTGAGACCTTAGATAATCAGCAAGAGGGTGTCAGAAATGAAGATGGGCAGTTACCAAACTTAGAAGAGACAGCTGTTGAACACATAGCATTTTTTGGGATCCTCTTACTCAGTGGTTCTCAACCTGTGGGTCACTATACACTTGTGGGTAAACTGACACTTTCACAGGGGTCACATATCAGATATCCTGTATATAAAATATTTACATTACAGTTTATAACAGTGGCAAATTAGAGTTATGAAGTAGCAACTTTATGGTCAGGGCTTACAATTACATGCGGTATTAAAGGGTCACAGCATTGGGAAGGTTGAGAACTACTGCTCTTAACCCATAAGGAAATGTAAGCTTAAGTGAATGTCCCAAGGCTATGTACCTAGTTAATGGCAGGTCCAGACAGAATGTGACCCCAGAAATCTGATGGAAACTGAGTTCCTATTTTATAACTGCTCAACACTTAGGACATGGTATTTGATCTACAGTGCAGGGACTTTTTGATCAATAGTAGGATGCTCCTGGTGGTTTGCTCCTGTAATGCCCTATAAGAATCTTTATAAAAAGAGGTCAAACATCATAACTTGCTAATTTGCAAAGATCTGAGTGGAAATGTATGACAACTGTGCCCTCCAAGACTTACACTTTGCTGCCGCTGCCACTGCCGCCACCACCACCACCACCACCACCACCACCACCACCACCACCACCACCACCACCACCACCTCCACCACCTTTGTTGTGGTTGCCCGCTTGATATGTGACATAAGGTTAAACGGGAGGGTCTGAGGGTTCTCCAGAAAATAGAAATAGAAGAAAAGAATTAGATGCTAGAATTTCCTTTGCTTTTAGGCATATCTCAAAACCAAGGACAATAGTCTTATCAGCTTTCGTAATTGCCTGTCATGTTGTTTCTCTTGGAATGGGTTTCTGGCTCAGCACACTCAGTGTTCTTTGGCTTATGTGAGTCATATCACGTGATCTGCCGTGCAAAGCTGCATTTGGCTTTATTGTTTTATACTGTGGTCAGATTGGAGGTTTTTTTTGGTGCCTGTATTTACCTGTGTCTTATTTTGCCAGCCTAATGAGGCCTCCCAGAGGCAGAGCTGGGTCTTATCATCCCCATGTGTTTGGTAACCAGACTCAGTGAATTTGAACTATTCTCAGTTCTCCAATCTAAGGCTCATTGTCAATGAAACAAAATGTCTCATGACCTGGGAGAAACAGTTCTTTGAGTTTAGGGGTGAGTCTACTATTGGTCAATACCTGGTTTGCCTTTTGCTTGGTGTAATTATTAATATGTGTCCCATTTTCTCAGTAGTTGGGAAGGTGCCTGCTTGATCTGTTTGCAAGGGAAAGCTGAGAGTTCTCAGATCTTTCACAGTCTGATCATTAAGTGACAGCCCAAACTTGACTCTGCCACTGATGATGCCCCGTGAGAAGGGAAATCAAGAGACAGTGTTGGCTCTGAGTTCTCTACTGTGTCCACCCATGAAGTGGGGTGCTCAGTAGCTAATCAGCAAATGCTGGCATGGAGATTTTCATCAACCAATGATTTTTGAGTTCTTTCAAAGTGCTAGGCCAAGGAATGGGTCAGTTTTTCCTGGGAGTTGCCCTGTAGAACAGATAGTGTAAACAGGATCTTCTTTATTCCAGAGAAGACCATGGATCCCTGGAGGTTTAGGAATATGCCAGCAGCAGACTGACTCCAGATCTGTGTTGGTCTTTGGCCACCACAACACATTGCTTCTCAGCCCCACAGCATACACGTGCTCCAGGACTTTTCAACTCCTTTTAGAGAACAATTCTTGGCACTTACCCCTACCTGGTAATGGCAGCGAGAGCATTTCAAAGGGTCGGGGAACCAACACCCTGCTGGTTTGAAGTCTTTAACTTTGGATACTATTCTTTGGAGAAAACATGTCCTGATCTTCCACTAGACCTTTATAGAAAGACAACGTTAAACATTTCAGAGTTCGTGGGTAAATGTATGTGAACTAGAACGTGCTTCTCCTTCAAAATCTAGCCCCATAAAAATATAGAAACAACTAACAGACAACAAACATCCCATGCTTAGCTTCTCTGTGGGATTCACATAGAAGCACGGACAAGGAAACACTAGAGACCAGAACGCCAGCAAAATTTAGTAGCTGACAGGCTTGGCAAGTGGGAAAGGATGTGTACTGGCTGTTAGGACAAATGGGTCAGGGAAATCTGTTATTAAGTATTTATGATGTCAGGGGGAGAATCTGTCAAAGAGGGAAAGTGAAGGAGGGTTAGTTTGGGACAGTGGGTGGATGAGATGTACCAAGCTCTCTGTCAGGTCACAGGAAACAAGATGTAGCCAGTGTGCAGGGCCAGGGAGTAGAAAGTCTGATCAGTGCTGGCTTCATGAGCTGGTGACTTGGAGAATCTTATGTTCAGTAAATGAGCTGTTATCACTTTTCTCAATCTTAGTTTTCTTTACATTTTATTTAGTAAGTGATGTCCTATGGACCTACTCCTGAGGGGATAGGGGTGCTGGAACCTGAGCTTTTGTGCCTTGGCCTTCCACAGCCCTCATCCTCTTAGTTCAGTTTTCAATTTTCTGTCTCCAATACTCACTAGTCCCTGCTCATTGTGTCCAGCATGCCTTGGTCCTGGAAACCTGACTGAGGAGGCAATGAGGAATAAAGAAATTATAAACACACACACACACAAACACACACATACACACACACATACAGAATACCTGGGGTCACAT